TGTCTGTGTTAATTGGTTTCCCTTTTCTTTGTTGAAGAGGGTCTGTGCAATCCTTCTGCCTAGTCCGCCATCTTGCCGGCCCCTCCGGCCACTAACAAACTTTTAAGACCACAGTCATGACTCACCAACGTAGGAGAGAGAACATTGTCTTTGTGGACTAAGCTATGCCAATTGAACTTAGTCTCCACTGAGACTATGGTCCTGAGCCCCCAGGCCCAGTGACTCATTCCCTCAAAGTGTTTGGTTGTGGCTAAGAAGTTTTCATAACTTTGCCCCCTGAATACTCTACTATATTCATGGACATATTTGCATCATATATAAAAACATATGTAGAAATATCCTCTGTCAAACCTATATATATTCCTGAGTGTAGTACCAATTGCCTTACCGCCCACACCTGTTCTGCTTCTGTGTCTATGTATCCACTCATAGGTTATTGTTGTTACTGTTATTGCAGGATTGTGTTTGTTTTTAGTAGTAGTTACCTTTGTTGCCTTTAACTCTTGTGCTCCTCACAGTGTCTTTGCCTTAATCATTTTGTGCTTACTTCTGCCTTATTGTATATTGTCTTTCCTTTCACCGAAGTTAATATGCGTCTACTCTCTAGTTAGAGTCTTACCCTCCCACCCCTGGTAGCCTTTAAAGAATGTTGTCTTGACTTTCTACAGTGGTGGTTACAAACAATATTTGACTTTTTGTGATTGACTAATTTCACTCAGCATAATATTCTCCAGATTCATCCATGTTACAAGGCATATTGCAGATTCATCATTATTCTTTAACATTGTATAGTATTCCATTGAGTGTATGTACCATAGTTTATTTATCCATTCATTGACTGATAGGGACTTAGGTTGTTTCCATCTTTTTGCTATCATAAATAATGCTGTGATGAAGATGGGAGTGCATATATCTGTTCCTGTCACAGCTCTTATATCTCTAGGATATATTTCTAATTGTTGCTGGATCATATGGGAATAACTTATTTTTTTAAAAGATTTGTTTTTAAAGATGTGTATACAACATTGGTGAGCTTAGTGGGTGCTTTAGTTTGCCAGGGAGTCACCTTGTTTGTTCTCAGGAGTAGCCTTATTGAAGCTTTAGTATTTTTCTGGTCATCTTTCCATAGACCTGGCTCACCTCGGTATCATGGCCACCCAAACTTTTCTCTGAGGCTACCTTGACTGACCCTGTTCCTCAGTCAGACCAAATATGACCACTTGTAGAAAAATACCAGACTCATTTAATTCAAAAAGGGCCTCATTAGTCTTGATTATTTCCAAGAGTAATATAATAGCCACTTACTATTAATCTGTTCTGTGATTGAGAGATTAGTTGCTCTTGGATTCTTAAATGACTTAATGTTTGAGTCTCAGAGCTGGAAGACCTCTTAGAAGTTTTCCAATCTAACTCCATCACATTATCAATGAAAGATACCAGAAAAGTGAAATGACACATTTAGGGTCACACTGTGGGTTAGGAACAGAAATGGGATTGGAAACCATATATTCTGGGTCCTATTAATTGAGCTCCCCCGCTGCCCCACTCCCTCCAGTCAACACATTACCTCTCTGGGAACTCAGACGTTCATATCTGTGAATATTTATATTCTTTTTGGTTCTGCATTAATACATACTTTTGGGTTCTAAACAATGAGAGATTTTTATTTTTCCATTCAGAAATGAGGCATATAGGGGCTCCTTCTTTATAGATACTGTCTGATGGTATCAATAATAGATCTTAGGGGTGTTTGGGTACATTTGAGCTACAAACACTATGTCTGACCTTGAATTTCTCCTTTAAGAACACAAAGTGAAATTAATCTTTTTTTGGTTGCTTTTTATTTTAGGAATCCTTGTTGGTAGTTTCAGTCACTTAACAGTTACTTGATAAGTACTGTTGATAAATACTTACACCTCATACTAGGCTAGAGGTATAGTTACTTATAGTCTTACCAATGTAGCCCTTTGCTCAAATATCCCAGATAATAGAGGGAATTTTATATTTGAGAGTAATAAAGAAGTATTTTGATCAATACCTCTTTCTCACTCACATTTATCTGCCCCATATTAGTTTACTAGCTTACCCATATTTCTGTGTGTGTGTGTGTGTATGAACTACCAAACAGTAGTTAAGTAAAATAATCACTTCCATACATCTAAGAAAGGATAGCAAAATAATAGTTACTCTTCATATCATTTTGGAAAATTCATTTATTTACCAGTTGAAAAGTATATTATCCTTAAACTTGTTCATATTAGAAAATGCTACCCAGAAGATAATATTCTGTGTCAGATTAAAATTGCAGAAAGATGGCAAACACACATAAGTCTAATGACCCTGTTCATGAAAAGTTATTAATTAGTAATAGAGAAGTATTGGATATTTAATTGTAGACATCTCTATATGAGTTTTTTTCTTTTGCTCTTTCTCTCTTTTTTGCTCTTTTTTTTTACGTTTCCAGTCTATGTTGAAAATTAAATAAGCCTGAAGTCTGGTGTAGAGTGTAGCTATTGCTCTTCAAATAGAATCAGGAGGTCCTCTCAGTTGATTATCTCAGTAGATATTCTTAAAGTAGGCGTAATATGTACATAGCTCTTTACCTTGATACGTTTTCCTGATAAGACATCTGTTCAGAGAGAAGCCACTTTGTAAACTGAATTTTAAGTCTCTTCAAATGACATCGTGTTTGTTTATACATTTGGTGTCATCACTTCAAGTATATTTTCACTGATTATTTCACCCATTAAATTAAAATTTATTACTGTTGCTTGTGATATTCACATTACATTAATATTTACATCTACTTGAATTTAATGTAGTTTTCTTTTTCCTAAGCATCTAGAAATATTTTGTTTGTTTGTTTGTTTACTCCTTCAAATTAGAAAAAGACCTAAATTATAAAGCATGTTGTTGTTGTTGTTATGATGTCGAGTAGGACCCAACTCATAGCAACCCCTCCTTGGGTTTCTGAGGCAGTATCACTACGGAAGTAGATTGCCCAACCTTTCTTCTGAGGAGTGACTGGTGGGTTTGTACCACCAGCCTTCTGGTTAGCAGTCCTGCCTTAGGCACTATGTTACCAGAGCTCCTTTATAAAGCATAGAAGTGATCGATCTTGGCCACCATATTCGGCTAAAAGATTTGAACTCAGGTCTTCTGTTATACTGCTTATTACATAAACCTAAGCTGTCTTTTACTATTTACTCACCTTGCAACCTGTATATTATTTTTACACCATTAAGTAAGATGGGATTGAGATTATTTTTCTGAGTTTTATTTGGTGCTACAGTGTTTTATTCTGCTTCAGTTGACCAACATTTCAAACTGTTTGATCTTTTTATTAATGATTTTCCTATAAATATCTCTGTTACTTCCCAAAACCCCATGGATATGATGGATGGGATCTATTTTTAAACCATTCATAAATCATTGTGTTGAAACCTATACTTGGAGCTACAGATTTTACTCATACTGTAAATGATATGGATTTTTAACATGGGTTCTATTTGTACTAGAATAGTTGTCTAGCTCAGAAGAACCAGGTGCTCTATTTGGAAGTAGATGGAGATTTTTTTTCCAGTGGGCATTCTCTTTTTAGGGGAAATATTTCTTGGAATTTTTTGCCGCCTAAGCCTAGCTACATTTAGCAGCTAATTCCATCTTTCTGGAAATGATGAGAAAAGAAAGGAGGAAATTTTTAGAAGCCAAAATAGAGAAAGTGGGGGAGCATTATCACCGAGACACAGATGACCCTATCACCGCATTTTTTCACAGTAAGTCCTTCTGTAGAGTCTGTCTCATGGAATGTTCTGGGTTTCCTGTTAGGGCATTCTGACATTTGGTTTAACAACTTCTGATGTCATTTTGCCTTGGGCGAAGTGATTCATTTATTACACTCATAGTTAAATTACTGTAATTCAACATATGTATGCAAATACATGAACTCCTCCATTTCTCTAGCTACCAAAGATATTGCAAAGATATTTAGAACAGTAGCCTTTTAGTTGTCAATATTTTTAGGTGTGTGATGAGTAAATGGAATAGCCTTACATCTTTCAGTGGATGAACTGTCAAGAAGAGTTTGTCTTTTTTGTCCCCACCCCTAAGTGTAGACTATTTCAGAATCCATTAAAGAGGAAATAAACAGCTGACTTTAAGGCATAAGGATAAGCCTAGCAATCATTTGCAGTATATTGATGTCAAAAGTATCTCTCTGCCAAGCTCTAAAATGCACCTTCAAAAACTACTGAAAATATCTAAGAACTTTAGTGATGAGCTACAAATGGAGTTTGGTATTGATAAATAAAAGTCAATATGTATGGTGAAAGGACAACTTACTGTGATAAATGGGTCCACCATCAGTAAAGATCAAATTATTGACTATCTAAAGCAAGGGAAAAAACAAACAAACAAAAAAATCTGTCTATAGCTATCTTCTACAGGTGAGAAGAATTAGCCACAGCAACGATTCAGAAAAAGCTCAAAGAGACATGTAAAAAGAATTCAATAAAAATATATACCAAAGTAGGCAGTACCATTCTGTTAACAAATACATTTGTGGCTCTAGGATAATATATTTCTTTGGCAATTCCCAGGTCCACACCTTTTTCTTTTGACTCGAATGAGTTCCCTTTGGGCTTCCCACATTCCCACTCAAGGAGGTCTAGCTCAGATTTCACATCCAGACCAGTCTATTGCAGGGGAGTTCTCCTGTACAACCCAAAACCACATCACTCATGAAATATTGCCTCTAATCCTCCTACTAGTTATTTTTCTCTGTATCTCAAATAGATCTCAAGTTGTATGAGGGCACATTAAAAGAGCCTTCATTTTTTTTTTTTTTAATCCTTTATACAGTCTTGTACAGAGCTCTACCTATAATAAGCACTAGATCAATATTTGTTGATTTCATCGTTTTTGAAATGATTCATTAGAGAAGTCTTGGTCACACATCATATCAAAGTTTAATGATGAAACATCACAGGAAACACGCAAAAGAACAATTGTAAGGATTAGCCTATCAGACTAAAACAAAACAAAACAAAATGTGAAATGGCAATTAATTAACCTTTACAATGTCTTCTGTTCCCAATTGGGAGAATATAGGAATTTTTTGTACAGTAAACTGAATTGGATACTCTATAGACTACACAGTAAAGATGACAGTACTTGTACCACTTCAGATTGAGAAATTAAAATATAACTAAACAAACTATCTGGGAAACAATCTACCCCAGTCCAACTCACACAAACCACACCCTCAAAATTCTGAGATAGAAACAGAAATAGCTGCATGGTACCTACTACCTTCAGTTTAAAGAAGATTGTGTGCCTAAAATTAGATCTAATTTACCAGAGAAAATTGGGATGGCAATTCATGCTGGGATTATTGCCACTAAGAATTGCTGCAGGCATTTACTTGGTAATTGTAATACTGTATCTTCCTCTTTGAGTTCTCTGAATCTAGAATAGGATCTTTTAGATATTTATTGCTTAAATATTTCTTTAAAAAATAAATAAAAATTTTAAAATATGAAATAAAACTATACTGGCTGACACATGCAATGCATTTGTCCAAAGGCTGTTATTACGAGATTCAGCTATCTGATTAATTCCCTGTTTTAAATACAAATGTAAATAATGCAGGAAATTAGTGAGTAAGATATACAGAGATAAAAATCATTAAAACAAGCCAAGAAATCTTGACCAATATTCTGCAATTTTGATGCATTTAACTAACCCACTTAAACGTTTCACTAAAATCTTTGGATTCAAAAATAATCTGTATGTATATCCAAAACTGAAGAAAATTAAAGTAAAGGCAGTTACATTAATAACTACTTAGACCCTACAGTTAAAATGGGGCTGAGCTTTGTCTCTGTATAGTTATCTTCCTCCCAAGTCACAGACTAATCCACATACTGTTTTTCAAATATGATTCCTTGGTTGGAAGTGGGCCTAAAATAGAAACCAAGCAAATACAGTGGATAGATACATCAAAGTGTATATCCTAGTAAATCAGTAGGACATCTAGCACAGTACCTCTACTTCATTCATTTGTTCCTTCATTCATTTCACATCTTTAGTGAATACTTCTATGGACTGTTGTTGTTGTTATGTGCCGTCAAGTCAGCCCCCGACTCATAATGACCCCTCCTTGGGTTTCCAAGGCAGTATCACTATGGAAGTAGATTGCCCAACCTTCCTTCTGAGGAGTGGCTGGTGAGTTTGAACTGCCAGCCTTCTGATTAGCAAATGCCTTAGGCATTATGCTATCAGAGCTCCTAGCATGCATATGAGGTGATTGAAAATACCATGGCTTGTGTCACCCACACTTCAGTCCTCAAGAAGACATATTTGCTCTTCAGCACTTGAAAGAGGTCCTTTGCAACTGATTTGCCCAGTGCTAGCTTCAGTAGCATAGTGGCTAAGGCACTTGACTGCTGACCAGAAGGTTGGCAGTTCAAACCCACCAGCTACTCCTCAGAAGGAAGGTTGGGCAATCTACTTCCATAGTGATACTGCCTTGGAAACCCAAGGAGGGGTCGCTATGAATCATGTCCGACTCGATGGCACATAACAACAATAACAAAATGTGTTGTCTGATGTCCTGACTGCTGCTTCCATTGGTGTTGATTGTAGAACCAAGCAATGTGAAGTCTTTGACAAATTCAGTCTTTTCTCCATTTATCGTGTTGCTGCTTATTGGTCGAGTTGTGAGGATTTTTGTTTTCTTTATGTTGAGGGGTAATCC